GAGAAATATACATAGCACACATTTGGTTTTACACGACCTTTTTGCCTAGTACCCTATTTCCCCTTTGAGCACAGCAGGACAGCTGTGCTCTCCTGGCGTGCATGTGGCATGGTGTTCTAGCCAGTCCCTCTGGGGAGATGGTTTGCTTTCAGTTTTTCTGTTATGAACAGTGTGACTGTTGTTTGGATTATCTGTCTCTGGGACTGACTGCCCATGGTGGCTTAAAACAACAACCATTTTACTGCTCGGGAATTTGGCAGGGCTTAGCCAGGTGGTTCTTCTATCCCAGTGGTGTCTGTTGTAGTCACCAACAAAGCTGGAGCTTCGCTAGAGCTGGGATATCCAAGTGGGCACCTCACCTGGGGGCTCGCTTGTTTCTCTCTCTCCCTGCCTTTAGACTCTCATCTTCCCACCTCTGCCTCGCTCGCCTCCTCCAGGCCTCTCTCTTCCCCACAGTGGTCAGGCGACTTGACTCAGTGGCTCACTTCCCAGAGGGCAGAACCAGAAACTGCTAGCCCTCTTGATTCCTAGCCCTGGACCTGGCACGAACTCACTTCCACAGCAGGTCACACGGTCAGTTCAGACTTCAGAGATGAGGAACAAACTCCACACCTGTGCGTGAGAGCTGCACATGGTACAGACACAGGAACATCTTTGCAAAAGATCTTGCACAACTGCAAACATCCTCGTACACTTGTCTGATGAGTTTTGGAGTCAAAGTTGATCCGTCCTTCAGTGGCACTGTGGTCTGTTGATTGGGGGATCTCAGGCAGGTCACATAACCCCTGGGACCAAGGCTTACCAAGTCTGCCCCGGCACTTCCTGCAGTCAGCAGGGAATAGCACCAGAACAGGCAGAGATGCCAGCACTCTCCAGGGACTCCTAGGAGTTTTTACCACGTCACGCAGTCTTCATTGATAAAGATGGCATTGCTGCCATTTTACAGAAGAAACCATGGCTTAGGAAGAATGGGCTTGACCTCCGTCCCCACCACCTGGGTCTCATCCCCATCTGGCCTTTTCTCTGCTCCACACAGTGCTGTGGTGTCATCATGCATTGTGGAGGACTCACTAGCTCCCTGTGTCTCTCTTTTCCCCTGATGAGGTCAGCAGGTGACATGGCTTAAGTCTCAAGTTCTTGAGTCAGATTTCCTGTGCTGTCCCTGGTTCTGCCCATATAGTGTCTGTCTCTGTGGATAATCGAGTCACCTCATTGACCATTGACCGTCACTTTCCTTGCCCGTAGAGTGGGAAGGATCATCACTGCATGGCCCTGGGCTGCTGGGTGGATTCAGCCATCAGAGCTGGGAAAGCACCTGGGTTTGCAGGAGAGGCAAAGGTGAAGGGATGCGTTCTGGTTCCTTGGGGCCCTGAGCCTCCCTCACCTCCCACTCTCACTTGGACTGGGCCAGGAAGGCCATTGTACTCAAGGTAAATAAAGGTGTCACAAGTCACAAAGGGCCCATTTAGTGCTCTCCTGGCTGTGAGATTAGTGTTCTTTTGTGATGCTCCAGGTGGTGACTGGAAATTCCAACCCTGGCTGAGGCTGGACCTGGCTACTGAGGAATTCATAGGCAGCCTGTCTAGAAGCAGAGTTGCCCCAGCAAGTGTGCCCTCTCCGGGTGCCTTCAGAGAAAGGTGTGGCTCTCCCGGCTGTGCCTGGGACAAACTGCACACTGTGACTTGGGGAGCCACCGCCTCCCAGTTGATTCAGGGATGAGTCAAAGCTTGCCTGTAACATCTGGCCCTCGGTGGCCTGGCCGGTAATTAGAGAATGCTTAGTGCCTTTGGTAGGGCGTCCTCTGGGTAAGGCCTAATTGTGTTCCCCGGGTTACCGCTCATTGCTTACCGTCCGTGGGGGGCTGTCTGCATATCTGGTCACATTTTCCTGCAAATTACAATTTTCCCACAGCGTCACCACCCAGTTTGTGACTTCTGTGCTGTGGTGTGGATGTGGGAGCCTGGCTCAGTAGGAGAAGTTGTTTTGACTTGAGTGGTGTTTCTGCTCTGTCTGTTAATTGTCCAGAGTGGCTAATGGTTCATTGACGATCTTGGGAGCCCTCCTGGGCCCGTAGAGCCATCGAGGCAAATTGGAGATGAAGACTGCAGGAAATTCTGGTTTGTAAGTTTAAAGCAGCATGGACATCCCCCGAGCAAGCTCTGAAATGATCTCTAAAATGACATGAGAAGAAGTAAGAGGGTTGTGAAACATTATTTTAACTCACTTTAGGTATGAGTCAGACTTAGAGTGTTTAAAATCTTGTGTGGCTCTAAACCAACTTCCTTGCTCCTATAATCTCTGTTTACAGAGTGGAATGAACCAGTGACCGACCAGGGGGGACTTGGATTGGCTGATGAGGGAATGGCGCATTGTCTTGGATGGTGGCTATTTTATTGTTGTATAATCAGAAGTCATGTAGCATGGACACATTGCTTGTCTTAGTCTGTGCTGCTACCACAAAATTACCCAAGACTGGGTAATTTATAAAGAATGGAAATTTGTGGCTCACAGTTCTGGAGGCTGGGAAGTCGAAGATCAAGACCTCAACAGAGTCATTGTCTAGTAACGGTGGTTCTGATTCAAGATGGCGCCTCCCTCAAGAGTCTACTGAGGGTCAATCCATTTGTGAGGGTCAAGCCCTCATGGATCCCTGAAAGGTCCTACTTGTAATATTGTCACTCAGGGGATTAAGTTTCAGCAGAAAATTTGGGAGGATCACATTCAGACCCAAAGAGTGATAAAATTTAACATCTTTTGAATTGAGTTGGGGGTGGTACCATGTTACACTGGACCCTTGACTTAGGAACTCAATTCATTCCTGAGGGCTGGTTGTAATTTGAGTTGGTCAGTGAAAGCTCAGGCTCCTCTACACCTTCAAAATCTTCAAAGCCTTTAGAGTCCCTCTCCTGTACACAGGCAGATCTCAGTGTCCTTAGAGAGACACTGGCCCAGGATTTCTCAATTAACCCCACACAGGAAAGGATGTTGTCATGCTCCTTCCAGAACTCTTCAAGGGTTAAATCTGTATCTGAGACCACCTGGAAGCACAAGTGGCTGGCATTTGGGTCATAACTAATTACTTTTTTTGTAAATTAAAACTAAAATTCTGGTTGTAACCCAAGTTGTTCTTATGTCAGGCCAGTCGTAACTTGAGGGTCCACTGTACTTTCAGAGTGTCTTTTAGGGTAAATGGGGTAGGAATGATCCTTGCCTCTACCTCGTAGTCCTGCTGATGCCGCCCATTTCTGTGGACTTCCCTCCCCTGCCTCAGCCAAAGCCAGCCATGTGACTTGACTGGGTCCACTAGATTCTTTGTCTCCAGACTTGGGGGGAGAAGGGGACAGCTCAGACTTACTCCTTCTGTGATTGTGCTTGCTGAGGCCAACCTGCACCCTCATACCTGCCTCAGCACCCTGTCTCCGAGCCTGGTCCTTCATCCCTGTGTGGGGCTTCCCTGAGGGACTTCTTAATCTCCCAACACATCACTAGTGGGTTCTGAGTTAGAAGAAATCAGAGACACTGGCCAACATTATCTATTTCTAACCGTATTGTACCTATTGATAGGCCTGGTGAGTGTCTCATGCACTGTGGCAAGCAGTAGAATATGGGGTGTCTGGGCCAGACTGGAAACGTAAATGAGGGTGGCCACCAGTAATTTAGTAAGAAGAGTGATCCAGGCCAACTGGAGATGTGGACCTCGTCTGTAGGAGCATCGCTCCTTGGCTCCACTGATAGCTTAGTGAGACATTGCAAGGAGTCTGGTTTGTGCAGGCGCTGAAATGGTGACAACTCCACCTGAGGACAGGTTGTGTCCAGGAGGACTATCTTCATGTGTAGTTGCAAGCCTGAGCTTGCAGGTAGCCCTGTTGGGTTCCACCTCCCTGGACCCTGTCTCAGCGGTGTGGTCCTGGGCAAAAATCTTTGCCTTCTGAGCCTCAACCTGAGATCTGCTCAGTGGCACCAGCAGTACTGTCTACCTCTCAAAGTTGTTTTAAGGACTCAGTGACACGGTGCTGTCAGGATTTTCACAGGCTGGCCCAGTGTCAGTGCTTAGTAAATAGTTGGCACATCTGACATGTTTATGTGTAGGGAGAGAATTCACTGTAATTCCCAGGAAAGTCAGGTAACTCCAGGGGTGACAGAGACTGGCCAGTCTGGTAGTGTTCATCATTATACACACACCCCAGTACCTTGCACAGCACAGGGGCTCCAATATTTTAATTGACAATTAAAAGACTCAATTTATTGAAACAGAGTCCTTATAAGTAGAAGTGCATAGGAGATATTATAAAGACTTTGTATACCAGAGTCCACCCATCCATGCATCCTTCTTTCCTTCCTTCCTTCCTTCCATCCACCCACCCAACCTCCATCTCTCACAGGGATGAGTTACGGTTTTACCATTTTGCCACTTAATTTTGCAAAAAGTGAAGAAGAAAGGATCAACGGCTGTTCTCTATTAATGTCTGCTGAGAGCCCAGTTCCTGACACATGCTAGGCTCAGTGAAGTCGCATGGTGTGAAGACAAAGGTTTTCTGCACAAACCCCAGCCTGGCAACTTCCTGGCTAAATGACCTTGGGCAAGTCATGATGCTACCATGCACTGGGTAGAGATAATAGGCCACAACTTCGGGCTATGAGAAGTGAGGAGGTGATGTGTGAGGAGCCCTTGGAACGGTGCCAGCCACATGGTGCATGGTCCAGGCAGGGTCACTCTCCGCTCCCTGATTCTCAGTGACACGCAGGCTGTGTAATTCCAATTCAATCGGCAGGGCAAGATGGCCTTGTGTGTGTCTCTTTAGACTCTTCTGTACTTCCTTTCCCTACACAGCTGTGATGGTCTTTGCGCCTGACTAACTTGCTTTCGGAGGACTGGCCGGCCCCGTTTTGCTTCCTCCGCCTCACAAGGCTTCCCTCTTTGGTAAGTAGCTTACTGTTGGGGTGACTGAGCTGTGATCCAGCTAACCCAGAGCCTGTGTCTGTCTCCTCCTCTCTCACAGGGAGTCAGACCTCTTTCTACTCGACAGCCGCACCCTCTGGGCCTCCGAGGAGGGCTGGCTGGTGTTCGACATCACGGCCACGAGCAACCACTGGGTGGTCAACCCTCGGCACAACCTGGGCCTGCAACTTTCAGTGGAGACTCTGGATGGTGAGTCCCCGGCCACTGCCACCACTAGTTCTGCAGCCGGTGCTCTTGGACTTTCAGGAGTCCTGAGCAGTATGCATGTTCGTTTCCCTGCAGACCAGGCTTTCCTGCCCCTTCTGACTAGGATTCAACACCTTGCCTTTTGATCCAAACCCAAAGGAACTTCTCTCCTCCCCTTGCATGAGAGGCTTGTGAGGCTGGCCACAGCTGGATTGAATAAGGCCTTGCTGCTCCAAGAGTGGCTCCACGTCAGCAGGAGTGGCCATCCTCACTTAGAAATGCAGAATCTCACCCACCCCAGACCTGCTATGTCAGAACCTCACTGGGACTGGAGCCCCAAGCTCTGATAGCTTACACAATAGCGGTGTGACAAGTGCCAGCACAGGCTTCTTGGCCTCCCGACGCATGGTATTCTGGGCCTGGAGCCCTGGAGCATGTTTAGTGGCGTCTTTGGCCTCCTACCTGCTAGGCACCAATCACATCCTCCAGGTGTGATTCCCAAAGGTGTCTTCAGATACCCTTTTAGCAATCCAAAATGTCCTCTGTGTGATAAAACCGTTCCTGCATGAGGATCACTGTACTAGTTAAAGCATTAGTCTCCTCCCCCTCAGTGGTTCTGAGTCCTAAGTTCTTGGAGAATCTGTTGTTAGCTGGCCCTTTCTCCCACCTTTCACTCCTCCACGAATCCACTTCCTTTGAGAAGGACAGACAGGAAGCTGAGTGGGGAGTCAGGAGTGGCCTATGCCAATAGCCCCTCCCCCTAACTTGTATTCTAATAAATGGGTGTGGTTTCTGGGTGTGTAGCTTCTTTCTTTTTAAGAAGAAAAATAAATTTTTCCCACTTATTTTGGAATAGGAAATACATGTCTGGCTTCATAGTCAGACATTATGGAAATGTGTAACAGTAAATAGTGTCCTTCTGACTTCCTTCCCTCAGCTGTTGAGTTCCACTTCCCAGAGTCAACTCCAGTTTTTCCTGTTATTAGGCACCTTTTCAGAGATTTTGCTATCGTTTTATTCTTCTCCCACAAATGATAGGACAAAATATTTAGTGTTCTTCATCTGACAGTTTATCTTGCCCACTGCTCCTACCTATGATTAAAGAGCTTCGTATTTTGTGCCCAAGTGGAGTATGAGTATAGAGGTGCTGCACCTCCCTTACGGTATAACTTTGAGCAACTTCCCTAACCTGCAATCTTGGCATCCACGCCTCCAACACACACCTGGGCCACCGGGTTGTCTTGAGTTAATATGGGAAGAGTTTTAAAAATAGCGACTTAATGGGCATAGAACCACCCCACACACCTTATTAAAATACAAATTCTGATGTAGGGGAGCCTGCCTTTCCAGACGGCCTTTGGGGGCTGCTGAGACCACTGGTCCCCTGACCAAGCTTTGAGTAATGAGGGCTTAAGATGTGACCTGACTCTAGTGCACCCTGAATAAAAGTTATTGTCAATATTACTGCATCTGGCGTGTCTTTTCCTCTTACAGACAGGGCTAGGGTAGAAAAGCTTGTGCAAGTTCATCTTCAGCTGAGCGAGTGTAGCTCTGGCATAAATTCCTGGCAGTGACACTGTCCACAGTAGCTGCAAAGGCTCCTGTCTCCCCTTCCTTGCCAGTCCCACGTTCTCAAACCTGTCCATCCTTCCTGATCCACTCACCTGAGGACAGGTGGCACCTGGCATGTGACTTTGCTCTTCTCCCTCACATGTGCCATCTGCAGTGTCTCCCCTGGCCGCTGTCTGTCCCTACCCACTGCCCATTGCTCTGATAGGTCATAGGTCTTTTTCTTCTCCATTTTGACTCTTTGCAGTTTGAGCAGCAAATGTTCTCCCAGTTTTGAGTTTTCTTTTTAGTTTGATTATTCTGGATTTTGCCAAATTGATTCTAACAAAGTAGCTGAATTTACTCACCTTTTCCTTCACAGTTCCTGGGCTTTGCCTCCTTTTCTTCCTATCAGAGGCCACCTCTTAGGCCTGGAGCTGGGGAAAGAACTGCCAGCAACTTGGGGGTGATGCAATGACAGTCCTGTTCGGGCACTTCTGTGCATCCCTTCTTCCAGCTCAGGGATGTGGCTGTAGGAGGTGGGGAGCAGCAACAGCTTTCCTATTTCTGAGGAATGGTGAGGAAAGGCCTCTCTCACCACCCTTCCACCTTGAGCCTCTGGAACATCGCTTGTACCTGGGTTTCCGAAAGCTCACCCGAGCCCACAGAGTTCAGGGCCAAGCTTCCCTCTGGGCTCCAGGTCCTCCTCTGCTATGATAGAGGTCTCCCCACCCTCACTTGTCCCATTTTCCAACCCCTTCCCTTGCTCCTCAGACTTACAGAAGATTCTAGAAAGTACTAGGTTTTTCCATGGCTCCGTACCAGGGATTGGCAGACTAAACCCACCTGACCACATTCAGGCTCCAGCCTGCTTTTTCTCACTTTTGACAAAGTCTTCAAATTTTAAATGACTGAGCAAAATCCAAAGAGGAAGAATGCTTGGTGACATGTAAAAGGGTGTGAAATTCACATTTCGGTGTCCGTAAATGATGTTTTGTTGCACATACCACACTCATTTTTTCTGTGTTATCTCAGACTGCTTTTGTGCTTTAACAGCAAACTTGAGTAACTGTAACAGAGACCCTATGGTCTGACAAGCTGAACATAATGTATTGTTTTCAGAAATATGATTGACAGGGAAAGTTTGTAGTCTGCTCTATGCCAGTATTTCTCAAACTGTCCTTCCCGAAATGTCAGTAGGTAGCCCAGGGACAAGTGAAGGGTTTCAGGGTCAGTTAAGTGTGAGGAATGCTAGTTGGATAAACGGGATCCTCTACAGAACTTCTCAGAGCCTTTATTTTGCCTGTGTCCTTTGTGAATCTCTGGGAGGCAGGGAATGTTGCATAGAAGAATTCCAAACTTACCTGGCAATAAAGTCATCCGATCTTTTTTCCTTAAAAGCCCTGTGGAGCATGTAGGGTGTGAGCTAAAATAATGAGGCAAAGGTGAGCTAGTTTCTCCTCTTCCGAGTGACTGTGGCCCTGGACTTGTGGATACTGGCTAGACCTTCCAGCTTGACCGCGGGATCTGGTGTCTCTGTCCTGCCTGCCCCCCTGGCTCTTGTGTCCCAGGGTGAGTCAATGAATGTCCCTCACCTGGAAAGTGGGATTAATCACTCTTTCCACCTCCAAGGGTGGTGAGATGAACTCACGCAGGTGGAGAGCTCGCGGCTCCACGTGTGGTGGCTACCACCCACGAGTGCTTCATGTGCTGCCCTCAGCCATGACGAGCAGCTGCCACTGTTACCATCTCCATGGTGCAGGGGAGGAAACCAAGGCTCTGAGTGCACTGTCTAGCCCGCTGGGAGACCCTCTGCATTCCTTGTAGCCTAGTGACCACCGGCACTGTGTAGAGACAGGGCGAGAGTCAGACCACAGGCTGTCGCCCGGACACCTGTCCAGGAGTGGTGTGTTCCAGGCAGCGAGCTTGGTGTGGTCACCCTGGTCAGGGGCAGACCACCGCTCACACCCGCGGGAGGGGTGTGTGTACCAAGGGCAGCCGGCTGTGTGCGGTGTTAGAAGAGCTAAGAAGCCAGCGAGTCGCATTGGTGAGACCCAGGCTCTCAGCTGGGCACATCCTGTGCCCACTCCAGTGTTCCTCACCGAGGCACCTGTGAGGATCACCCCGGGAGCTGCGCATGCTGGCTCCTTGGCCCCCCACACCCACTGGTGGAGGCTCCTGGAGGGTGGGCCTGGGAACAGGGCTTTCCTCCGCTCTTCCTGGGCAGTGTGGGGCCTGGCTGGCGGCCATGCTGTGGTGCACTGCGCGAGGTGTCTGGGCCCTGTCTGGGCCCTGTTTATCACAGGGTGCTGGCTGGAGGGCTGTACTTGGGTCCTGAGCCTGAGCTTTCCCACCGATGCCCACACAGGTGCAAGGGGCCAGCACAGCCTGCCAGGGAGCAGTGTGTTCCTTGGACCCCTACTCTGCCAGGCCTGAGCTAGTGGCAGAGTCCCTCTGCACGGGACCCTGTCCTCCCGCTGCTGGCAGTCTGATCGCCCAGGCGGTGGAGCCTTCTCACCTGGTTGTCGTGACGTTTGGGCTGGCGGCTGCAGCTGTCACATCGCCACCCCGGTGCCTTTTTCCTTCATCTGCTCCATGGATGTCGGAAAGTCACCTCTGCAAGCAGCTGGGAGGAAGAAAAGAGGAGAATTCCTGGGAAACCTAGGCCCTGTGCTCACTGAGACATCCCTGCTCCCAGGTGTTAAGTTTTGTTGTTGTGTTGTTGTTATTTTTGAAACATAATTGTTACCACCAGGGTGTTCCAGATGGTTAAACTGAGGCCAAGAAAGCTGAGGGACTTAGCTAGAGTCACAAGGCTCCAGGCAGGCTGATGACGCCGACTCAGGTCTCCTGCATGTTACTGAAAACTTCCAGGGAGCGGTCCCCAGGGATCAGACTTGAGGTGAGGTCGAGGGGACACTGTGTGATCAGTGAGCTCTGAGGGGTCCCAGTAGGGCCATGAAGAATGGAGGTGCTGGCCCCTGCGAGTCTGGGCCCAGTCTGCCTGTTTTGGCCAAGTCCCCTTCCCTGGGAAGGCAAGAGGGGCTTCCATGCTACAGATTGAACGAGTGGCAGGGCTGCATTTGACCAGGGTGAGCTCCTCCTCCATTAAAAAGAGAATTAAAAAATCCACATTCTAACTGTGTCGGTGTAAAGATGAATGGAGTCCTGGCGGGGTTGGATATTAAAACACTGCCCTCGCTGCTGCAAGTTCCTGTGTTAGGCTTTAGCATACACCAAACCAGTTTCCTGGGCTCCTACATCACTGGCCCTGGTCCAGCCTGCTAGGATGGCAGCAGTGCCAACCTCTCACCCCACCTGCATCTGGTCCTTAGAACCACTTCCTCTAGCCACCAGCTTCTTTGTCCACCTTGGAAACAGATTCACTCAGCAACCAAGCTGCGCTAGGTGAAGGTTTTGCTGTCACCATGCACAGCCTCGTAGGAGGTGGGTGG